GGGACCGCGGAACTTGGTGGTCTCACCGTGCGTCAGAGATGGAAGTGGCCGCTGCCCTTGGCAACCATCGTAAGTTATTCCGTCTGATACGGGAAACGGGCAGCAGCAGACCTGTGTTAGTGAAACTATACGTGAGGAGAGTGGACAGCCTATCCACAATTTGTCAAGACGTTTGAAGCGTTTGGCTGAGCATTTTGAAAAGCAATTTACTCGGCCGGATTTGTTCGATTCCTCACCGCCCAGTGATTGCCCTGCTCCGTGAGATGTCCCTTTGGATTCATCCTCGCGCATAAAAGTCGAACGTGAGATCGGACTGTTGAAGTTGAGCAAAGCTGCGACATCAGATGATCTACCTCCAGCCCCCTTCAAATTCAAGGGCCCTGCTCTCATTGATGTTTTACACGAATTGCTAGTGAAAGTGCGGGAGTAGGAAACTGTCCCAACCGACTGGTGCAGCTCCGTTATTGTTCCTATCTTCAAAGGAGACTCGCGTTCGGAATGCGGCAACCATAGAGGAATCAGTTTGATCTCCATCGCCTTCAAATTACTTGCCTCCATGATTCTTCATAGACTGACTGGCGCTCGTGAAAGCCAGATTCGTGAGGAGCAAGCCGGGTTTCGTCAAGGTCAGGGCTGCATCCACCACATCTTCACCTTCGTCCGTTGTTGGAGCATCGTCACATATTGGCGGCCCACCGTAGTCATGTTCCTCGACATCGAAGGTGCCTTCGATTCGGTTGATCTATGTGCTCTTTGGAATTGTCTACTCAGGAAAGGTGTGCCCAGGAAATGTGCAAATACTATCCAAGCATTATATGCGCGTAGCACGGACAGAGTGAGGGTTTACGGCAAGCTGTCGCCACCCTTCAATATCTCCAGCGGTGTGAGACAAAGATGCCCGCTGTCACCTTTCCTCTTCAACTTCGCTATTGACGAAGTTATGGAGATTGCATTTATAGGACATGACTTGGAAGGCGTGGAGCTACTCCCAGGAGAACGACTTCTTGACTTGGAGTATGCAGACGACATTGCCCTCATCTGTGACAGCTCCCAGACGTGCCAAGCCGCGCTGGACAGATTAGCACTGGCTGTCAGCCGCTTCGGGCTTTCCTTTGCACCATCGAAATGCAAAGCGTTCCTCCAAGATTGGCAGGGATCGCCTCCTGCGCTGACCCTTGATGGGGATCAGCTAGAAGTGGTTCGGAAATTCGACTACCTGGGAAGTTGTATCAGCGCCCCTGAAATCGAAGACGAGATCACGAACCGTATAGCAAAAGCTCGAAGTACTTTTGCTAACCTTCGCCACTTATGGCGGCGGCGCGACATTACTCTCGCCCTGAAGGGTAGAGTGTACAATGCAGCGGTACGTTCGACCTTACTGTACGGTTGCGAAACCTGGCCCCTTAGATCAGCGGACATAAAGAAGCTAGTTACGTTCGGCCATCGGTGCCTTCGCAGTTTGGCTCACATCTGGTGAGAACACCGCGTGAGTAACGAGCGTGTTCGACGCCTTGTTTACGGCAAAGAATAAGGAACTGAACCGCTCAGCACCGTCATTTCATGCACCAGACTCCGATGGCTGGGCCACGTGTTGCGCATGCCAGCCCACCGACTTCCGCGACGTGCGTTGTTTGCTCACCGGGGATGTGGATGGAAGAAGAGGAGGGGTGGCCAAGCGATAACTTGGTCCAGGGGAATGAAGGCCCTCACTTCGGATCTGGCCTCGGTTGGGCGTCACGTCTCCCTGGTTGGGGACCAAAAGACGATGAACACGTTTGGCTGGATACACTTGCTGACATGGTAAGGAGCCGACCTCAGTGGCGTTCCTGCTGTGAGTTTATTTGTCCCTCCCCCATCCTTTTTTAACCTCCCCCTCCACCTAGGATCTCATTTCGTAGCGTAAAACATAATAATTTTGCTTTTTGCCTAGTAGCCGGCTGGTAGCTTACCAGAACGATGCCTATCCGTTGCTGGTAGCGTAGCTGGCATGCAACTGTTGTATTTATTTTCCTTTTCCTTTATGTATTGCGGCACAGTAGCTGAGGTGTTTCCCACCTCTAGCTGACGTGTATAATGATAAAATGATGATGATGATGGCACGTTCGTGAGCTGTCACAGGTTAGAACAATATCGTCGGCATACTATGAGTCAAGAAGTGGAGCATTTGGAAGCAATTCAGCACACATTTCAACTAGTGTCCAGTAAACGCAGTCTCCTTAACATAACGAAGGTGTAAAGAAAAGATGACAGCGGGTATTATGTCTCACATCGGTGGAGACGCTGAAGAGCGGCGACGGTATGCCATAAGGTATCACTCTGCTTGAACTATGTGCGTAAAGCCTTCCAGTAATACCCACGTATTTCCGGACTACGGTTTTAATGATCAGTCCCAAACATCGATACAATGAATCGAAGGCATATTTGATGTCGAGGAAAGGGACTACAGTGGGTCGCTGATAGATGTGGCGGTGCTGCAGCATCTAACTAAAAGTAATGATGTGGTCAATGCAGCCGTAACTTGACGAAACCTTGCTTGCCCTTCATGGGTGCCAGTCAGGCTGTGAAAAAGGACAGAGAGTAAGCTAGAGGTGATGGAGATCGTCAGCCCCTGTTGAAGATCGGAACAAAAACTGAGCAACCCCATTCGATTAGGACAGTTTCCCATAGTGTTACAAGGGCAGGTCCCTGGATTTAATGAGAGCTAGAGAAAGATCGTCTGGTTCCGCAGTCTTATCCAACTTTAGCAGCCAATTTCACGTTCGGTTTCTGGGCGGGGGTGAGTACGAAGGACGGCTCAGGGTACAGGACGATCAATGGCTGTCGAATAAACGGACAATTCTGGCCGATTAGACTGCTTTCCACTGCATTCATCTCGGCATCCGAACGTCTTGACAAGTTGTGGATAAGCTATCCCCTCCAGTTGCATACAGTTTGGCTAAAACCAGACCTCCTGCTGTCCGTTTCCCATATCCGACGGAATAACTTGGAATTACCCTCATCTCCGATGCACGATGAGACAATCAGGTTTCGCGATTGCTCTTCAGACTAGCACGTAGTCTTGAGCTGAGGTCTTTGTGAGTCTCGCTGTATTTGCTCCCAGCCGGAATGCGTCGGCCAGCACAAAAAGGTTCCAAAAACTGCGTAAAGACACAATGTCCAGGTTGGTAACTAGGTTAATCATATGAAGACAGATCTAACGCTAAGGTCTGATAAACATACGACTAGGAATCTTCGACTGTGTTCAGTGAAAGGTGACTCGGCTCCGAGCCCAGTATGCATTCATACGCGTTCCGAGCATCTGGTTCCATCAGTTGGTATATGTCTACGTACTCGCAGTGTCGTCTAGGGCGTACGCCTATACGCACCCAGCAAGTGCGGGGTCGGAGTCCATGCTTATGCTCAAAATCAAATGGCAGTTTTTTATGCAGCTTCTCTAGCGGAGATAGATCGCGTTGCGATCGAGTTACGTCCGTGACTGGCGGGTGCCAGGTCGCCTGCCGACGGGTGCGGTGTCAGAAGTTAGTGCTCGCGATAAATAAACGAGTAGCTTCATATGAATGTGGGAAACGCTCACAGTTATCATTACGGGAGCCTACACCGCGTTAGCCTCCTCGATGCAATTCATCAAAGGGGGCTCGTATCGCAAGTCAGAACTGCAGTATTCGCGCCCTCTTTGTAATGAAGGCACAGTAGCATCTTCATATCTATAAATCCCGTTCGATGTATTAGATTGCGCTGTTGACTATCCTCTGCGATGGTAAGCCCATCAAGAAATCCGTTGACGAGTTTGGCAGGATACTGTCAGATTGCCCAGGCCTAAACCAGACTAGTTCCTAAGCAAACCGACTGAGTCAAAAAACCTGACAGCAAGGCAGCGGGCTACACGGAGTCCGGTCTCCGGAATAAGGAGTCACCATCAGTTCAAAACGCAACTTGGAGGATCAAGAGACTGAGTTTGTCTAACCATCGACCAATCTGGGATAAGTGACTCTGATCGTGCAGAAGCATCACACAGTACAACATAATAGGCGAATGAGGCACGCAATGGGTAGAGTATCTAGCGTAGCACAGATGTGCATGCTACTGAGGTTAATTGAAGCTAGCAGCAGACATGAAAGAAATGCCAGCAAGGCACCGGTGGTCAATATCAGCCTCCTAACACTCTCAGATCACACCAGCCGTATTTGTGAATGCATCTAGGCCATATATAATCAGCCAGTGAGGCTAAAACGGGAAGCATTGGATAGTACAGATGAGTTTCCGGCAGAACCCTGTAGTGGTGATGCCTAGGTAAATGAATTGAATAGTAGTCGGCATATACTGTACATTCGCTACAAAAAATCAAGCCTGAGATTGCATAATCAATCTTAGAGGCTTTATTCCCACAACACATGATAAAGTAAGTGTGAACTAGACAGTGGAGCCTAGCAAAAACCTATCACAGGTATTTAGTTGTATCAGTCTACAAATAGACAGAAAGCCATCAAAATCATAGAAATCAAAGGAAGGTACAGTTGTCGAGAAAAAACCGGACATAATACAGAGAAATGCATGGTTTCGTCAGAGTGCACATGTAACAACATGATAACTAGATAGTCAATGACACATTATAGCAGTAGTTTATACTGAGATCTGCAGTCGTATAGCCGTAAATTGAGGTGAAAACAGTGAGAGCATAATGTGGGGATAGTATGATGCGGCAGCTGAATTTGTTGGATAGATATTCAAGGTCGAGGTGACATTCGCGAGGTGGCTACTTCGTGGTTCTCACTGACACTTTTCTAATCATGTCTGCCATACGGATGACGTGGGACTATGCGCAGGAAACGTGATTAGAAGATAGTAAACGTGCGGTTGGTACCGCCAAAAAGTAATCAAGGTGGGAAATAGCAGGTAGTATCACAGAAAAAGACTGAAACACCCAGTACATGCTCAATGTGTAGCAACTGGAATTGATAAGCTTAGCAACATAGGAAGTATGAGTTGGGGATTGAACCTACCGGTTTGCTGAGCTCCGGTGCTTCTTCGGTTCGAACTGTTGCCTTTTTCCTGAAGGCGAAAGCAAAAAAAGCGGGGAATTAAACGTTGTGCGCAAAAGTGAATGTGGCAAACCGACGAACAATGCAAAAAGCTCGGAAAGAACAACAACTCCAAAAATGTGAGTAACGGAAGCTGTAACACATCAACAAAAGCATAGATGAGAAACGGGAGAACCTGGAATTCGTGCTTCGGGTAGCTGGCACTGCGAAGTCACAAGGGAGCTGCATCTTGGTGAGATGATCTGTTACAAGCAAGTACACAAGAGATCAAACCGAAGAGAAACGAGTAGGTGGTACACGACTACTGACGAAAAATCCCATTACCACTAGGAAATATTATGTACAGTATATCAGAAGAAGGCCCGAAGTGGTAACCGGCGATAACGGCAAGGTAAACTGTAGGCAACTGGTTAGAGCACAACAACGAGACACCTTGAGTAATAAAAGTGTATTCAGCCCCCAGCACAGTCGATTTGGAAGTCGATAACAAAAGAAAACAACGAAGTAAACGATAAACCAGGTCCGTGATTTAGGTAGTAGACGAAACAGCAAAAGAGTGGTCACATTCAGGCGGAATACAGATAAAACAACGAACTAGACGTCTGACCGATAATCAGAACAACCACTGGTAGTCAGTAACCATTCTCGTTTGATAAGGAAACTGTTGGACGATCGAGAAGAAATGCAACAGCAGTAAGGATAAAATTTGTCGAACATAGACAGTTAAGAGGCCTATGGATTAGGTTATTAGAAAAATGAGGTTGAAAAACAGGATAAAAGATGTCAAGAGATGTTGGAGCGGTAAGAAGGAGTAATGAACCATGCAAGTTCGTAGTCGCTGAAGTCCTAGATTCAGGAAGGAAAACGAACTGCTGGGAATGATCTTTAAGTGCTTGTTTTCGCCAGTGCTTCGTCAAACGAGCGTGCGAACAGTTTACGGTAAAGAGGTAAATGCAGAAGGTTCCCACAAAATGGTCGCACAGTTCGTGTTGAACAAATTTGGCCTTCTTTCAAGGATTGGCTTTCACCTGCTCCCGTGCTCACACTTGAAGGTGCACAACTTGAACAGGTAGATAGTTTCGTCTGCCTTGGGAGCTATGTTTCTGCTGACGGCACTATCAACAAAGAAGTTTCTCTTCGCATCGCTAAAGTTCGATGGAGGGGCCTTTAAATCGGCCGTTGGCTTTTTCGCTGAACATCATTTTTACATTATCTACTGTATATATCTCAGTACTGCAACAGTACACCGACAGGTATTTTGGTAAATAAACTTCCAAGGTCACTGCGACCCTTTACTCTATCCAACATTGAATATGCATATAATATATCGCGTACGATCCCCGATATATTGTTGCTGGACACAAAACTCTACATCAGTTGAAACGAATTCTGAAGAAAGATTTTTACGAAACCTTGTCCGTTTTCAATGAATACAAATCCCGAAGATCTGGTCTAACTTTTATGGATGGTTACTTGATTGATCTATGACAGTGCATCCTCATTTTTATATCCATTTGTAAACTTTGCATTTTACTGGTAACCCTCTTGTAAATTTACAGTTGATAATGTAAAATGCTGAAAATGCACCCTTTTGGGTACATAAAGCTTATATTGACTTGATCAGCAGTTGTCAAGCTGAAGCACTTGTGGCGTCGTCGCGACGTCTCATTTTCGCTGAAGGGCCGCGTTTACAGCGCAGCAGTTCACTCAGTATTGTTGTATGCGGGCGAGTCCCGGCCGATTCGAGTGGAAGACATGCGGCGTCTTTCTGCCTTCGATAACGGTTGCTTAAGGAGGCTTGCTCGTGTTTGGTGGTCAGCCTTCCACTTGGCTGCAGCACATGAGATCGCTGACGTCGTATCTAGCCGCTGTTGGATCCCTACGTCTTCCAGGATGGGGACCGAAAGATGAGGAGTGCCAATGGCTTAACACTCTTGAAGACATGGCTCGCAACCGGAATCAGTGAAAGAATTGTGTACAGCATTGTACTGATTCACATGTTTAATAGTCCAAACATTGAAAATGACAAAAAAGGAGAAAAATCGGCGCATGAAAAACCCGAAATGCATTGTTCTACTTTTTGTCTAAATGTTCCTTTCTTCCCGCGGCATATTAGCCGAAGTGTGTTGCTCACCTTCAACTACTATGTCACGATGATTTTGACGCGATCACTCGCCCTTATTCGCTGATCCCCATAGTTTTCTGTTCGCTCTGTGTCTAGTTTCTAGACTGCTGAGACTACTACTACTACTACTACTCCAGAAGCCGATGAAAAGTCAAGCTGGTTTGGCAATGTTATCTGACAAGCTGTGTCAAAAGAGAATTAAGGGTGAATCCAATCACAGAAACATGTACGATGAATCGATTGGCGATGACCAGTGAGACAAGTCACATATGACTTACGGTGTAACAATATCATCGGGTCTTTCTGCAACCAGCTGTGTACGTTCAGTACGAATGGTAAGACATGAGGACTCCTAACGACTAATTCTGGCAATGCCACTATACAGATCAGTTAGTCTAAATACGTGCGCAAGTAAGTTAAACGTTTAGTCCCGAATACTTATGAATCGCTCTTACAACTGTTTGAGCTCCATGTTCTTATCAAATGAAAGAGGATGAAAAGCACGGGCACAAAGTATCTCCTTACTTTTATAAGGAAAACACGTCTATTGCCGTGTGAGTGAAAAGATGATGAAATATAGGTGCAATGTTACGGTAGTCGGGGTTCGGCTGAATAACCAGATACGTGTCCATGTTAGATATATATTCAGAGTGACACATCATGGGTGCTTTTACGTGGAATGTGGATGTCTAATCGTTGGATATCCGCACCTGAAATAATGGCATTTGGAGACAGCTGACTGTTGGGAGCAGCAAGACGCAGGTCGTTCATGACAGTGCTGAGTAGTTCCACGATGGAACGGATGACGACCAAGCAACTGACGTGCGCATATATGGTGCGGAGTGTGCAGGTAATTGTCAATACCAGCGTCAGGCTGATCCCCCGCAGTTGACACAAACGGTGCGACTTGGTAGTGCCACTACAGAAGATGCACTCCAATTTGCTAAATCAATCTGGACCTTCCATAGCTCATCGAACAGATGACCGCAGCCTACACAAGTGGTGCGTTTATAGTCATCTCCAGTCGTTTAAGAGTGATCACGATTCCGCATTGTGAAATCCACACGATAGATAGTTGTCCGAGGTTGACAGGCATAGACGCCTTGGAGGTGGATGTTTACTTGGAGTAGTAAGGTTTCACAATGGGCCACCCTTCTGCCCTTTTACCATCAGTAGCATCGCTATGATTGTACAGTAATGAAGCAAGGGTGCAAATTCAGCTGGTGGCCAAAAGGGCTACGCGCTTGCCTTGTATTCCGGAGATCTCCGATTTGAAGTCGCGTAGATGCGAGTGATGTCACGGTACACCCAACTCATACGTGACTCGTGGTGGTCACGTGGCAGTGAAGCGTATGTACACTGTGTCAGCGTAAATGCTTGTGACTTTTAGTTTATGGACAAAAAGAGCTGCTACACCGTCGTAGGTGATTAAAAGGAAACCTCTGGTGCACATGCTTCCCGATTCCAATTCCGCAACAGTACGTGACCATCTGGCAAAGACCCAGACACGCGGATTCCATAACGGTGTTAAAATTTTCAGATGTCAAGAGGCTGAAGCACCGTTATGCGAAGTACCCTACTCCCCATATGTGTTACGTGTGGAACAACGGTGTGAGTCGGCTCTGGTGCAACTGTGGCCAATGTTGGCACGCATCGCAATCTTATGTACCGGCATTCCATACTGGATATAAGGTGTGCCTGTGAGATTGCAGGTGGAGCGTAGTTTACAGTCCCAGTGACCGTGAAAAACGAATTCAGAAACGGGCGCATCCAACTATGAAAACTGCTTTCGGCTAGTGTCCGTGCACTTGCCGCTAACCACTGGCCGGGGTTAGAAGCCAGTGAGTGAGTAATGTCGTAAAAGTGCTGACTAATTCAGCAAGTGACCAATAGGGATGGGATTGATGGGAGCATATGAGTTTTATGAGAAGCGTCAGCAATACACCGGTACATTGTACCGAGGCTTAACTGTCACGCGATCATCACGTTACTGTGGACTGGGGATGCTGCGAGGTTACTCGAATCTATGCAGATTCGAACCGGTGACCTCCGAAGTACAAAGCAGGTGTGTCATGCTTTCGGATACCGGCCATTTGGCCGAAGTAAAATGTATAAGGGGAATGAAAGCAACAACTCACCCCCATCTGGCTGGAACGGAATTCTTCATTTCCGAACCAATTTCCGTTCTCGTGACCAAGCGAATCCTACGGAGGGAGAAATAAAACGAGAATCAAAACGACAGTGAGTGAGGTACGCCGATGGGAACAACTAGTTGCTGCTGGGAGCTTAATCGGCATAAAGACAAAATGATTAAAAACTATGACATGCACAGTGAGAGAAATCAAATCAAATCGGTGGCAAACCGATTGTGGAAATGGTACACAGAGCCCGAATGCGTACGTGGTCCAAGCGTATCAGCACCTTGAGTAAGCCGCTGTGATGAGTTTCTTCGCAGCATATTGCCAGTTGGAGAGCAGTGTGGTTAACCAGAACTCCAACATGTCGTGTGAATAGCACGCAAATTTAGTCGACCGTGGTGGATGACCTTCCTCGGTCTAGGTTAAACAATCAAACGAATTAGACACTAAGTGTGTCGGATGGAAAAACAAAACCAGTAGCCTTTAATGGCACATCACGCCTTCCTTAAATTCAATCTAGCAACGAAGTACGAGAGCAAAGGCAAGTAGACGGAACGAAGGGTAACTACAGTGAGCGAAGGCGGGAATGGAGGTAACCAACAGACAGTTGGCATTTAACTCCAGCTGTTTTGTTCAGCTAAGTGAACCCGCAGTGACACTGAACCAACAGAACCAGTTCGGGACAACGATTGTGCGTCTACTACCGTAGAAGAGATCTGAGTTGAATTCTGTCTATGCAAACGACACATGGACTTAAAACAGATGAATTTATGTACCAATGCTGTGAAACAGAGCAGACCACCTGTAAGCTGGTCTAGCCGTTTTGACAAACCCTATGGGGCAAAAAAGTACCTTCCCACTTGGTGTCTGTCAACCATAGCCCCATTCTTAAACTCTGTATGTAAAGATAGGCTGCAACCAACAATACATTTCTTTTACAGTTTATTCTACCTTGGATGATGAGCCGCATCGGAAATGTAACCAGGAAACGACCCAGCTGTCTAGAATGCTGAATGACACGTCCGAAGTACAATAAACAGGATTTCTATTTGATAAGGGGGGAATCCATCTGGCAAGATTATCATCCATTCGACCTAATGGTAGCAAAATGCCCAAAACACAACTGTAGTACTACGGTAATTTAAACAAATGCTTCCCTGCCGTACAACCACAAAGAACCCAAATGTACTAGATAAACAGTCAGAATGAAAGTGCCTGCGCGTTACTAGTGGCATGGTTGGTGTGCCTGCGTTGCGCCATTTTTTCTTTCTCATGTATTGCGACACAATACCTGGGGTGTTTTCTATCCGTAGACAACGTGTGTACTGATGTCTATCCAGCTGAAGTGCCGGTCCGTAGCCTAAAGGTAGCGAGCTTGTCTTGCAATCTGACGGCGCGGGTTCGAGCCTACGCAGGAGCAGGGCGACCCTCGTAGTATCCTTAGCCTACGTGCCTTTTATCCAGTCGGAGTTAATTCCATACTTACCACGTAACAGCTTCAGAAAGGTCCAGATGACCTACTTGCGCAATGAAAGAAAGAAACACATCAGCAGTACGCCGGTACGCAGTACCGACGCTTCGCTGTCGCGCAACCAACACCGGTCACATGTGGGCTAAGGGTACTGCGAGGGTCGCCGTGACCCTACGTAGAATCGAACGCGCGCTGTCAGAGTACAAGACAAGCTCGTTACCATTAGGCGTATTAATGTCCCCTGAACTGGTAACTCTGCGAAGTAGCGTGTTCAGTTGGCGATAGAAAGCGTCCATGGCAGCATCGGAACTGCAGTCGGTGGGAGCATAAGAGGAAACCACAAACAGCGTCTAGTACTACTTCGAGAACCAATCTTAGTTGATATCATCAAATGGGCTGTACGCAAACGGTTGATTCGTGTAAAATCGAGAATATACCTTATTATGATAATAATTATTATTACCAATCGACCAACTACTACTCCGCCTCGGAGTTGGAGACGATACCCGCTTCAGCTTGACCTGCATCGGCATCCCTAAATGCGTGCAAGTGATAACGTGAGGACATGCTTGGCGCGGTCAGTTTAATAGGCGAGCGAGCGTCATTGATCTTAGCTTCCGACTAGCAGTACGACTTGATGTTGTGTGTCCAACGTGCGTGCAAGTGTTGCCTGCTGACCTACGTGTTGTAAAGTAGGAACGTTGAACACCGCTAGAGAAACGGGACAGCAAAGCTTGTTAAGGGACTGCTGACCCCAACATAACTACAGACAGTATAACCCTAATGGTACTGCAACTGTCGTCAATTGAGCTGGGGATTGTATTGGGTTAGCAAATAAGCTCACGCCGTTTTTCTTAATTCAACATTCCGCATGCTATTAAATGCTTTGGCATAATGTTGTGAACTATTCGAAAGAGGATGTTTTGTTCTATTTTGTTCGGGTTAATTTGTCAATTTCTGTTTACGTTCAGATTATTAAAATGAAATGTCAAGTTGAGAAAAATGAGCGTTTGCGATACTTTATCGTTTTTAAGCAAGGTTCTAAGGCCGCAAAATCTGTTCGCGACATTTGTGCTGAGCATGGAGAGGGCGCCATAGCTGAAAGAAACGCCCGTGAATGGTATGCCAAATAGAAATTTTGACCTCAGGGACGCACTTCGTCCTGGCCGTCCAGTGGAGTTCGATGAAGAGTGATTAAACCAAATTTTGTACGAAAATTCGCGTCAAAAGACAAAGGAACTGGCAGAGAAAATGTAATGCTCCCACATTGCTATAGAGAAGCATCTTCACTCGACGGGAAAGGTTCAAAATCGTGGAGCATGGATTCCGCATGCTTTACGTGACAACAATAAAAATCGACGAGCCACAATCAACGCTGGTTTGTTTGCTCGTCACTACTCAACTCAAGGACACAAGCAATGATTTCCTTACCGGATCGTTACGGGCGATGAAACATGGCATACCAATCACAAGCGGTTCTTTCAGCTATGGCTCCTTCTCCATGCACAGCACAAATGTCGCGAGCAGTTTTTGCGGCTTTAGAACTTTGATTAAAAGCTAAAAGGTGTCGAAAATGCTCATTTTTCGCAGCTGGACATTCCATCTTAGTGATCTGCAAAATAAACATAAATCAACTTGAAAAAAAACAAAAGAGAACGAAACATCCTCTTTTGAATGTACATCATGCCAAAAAATTTAATGGCATGCGGAATTTTAAATATAAAAAACGGCGGAAACTTAGTTACTGGCCCAAAAGATAGAAGATTAAAAATGGGGGAGGCGTATGGAGGGTAGTAGGAGAAACGGGTAAAAAAGCTAGCAGCGGAATGGTTTTGCTTGTCCACCATGCTGTATGTAGCAGGTAAAACAACCCTCTTAAAGCTGCGCGAGGGCCAATGCAGGAGGTAAGCAAAGTTGATGATAAACTCAACTATTCATAGTTATACTTGGGTTGGAATATTGCCAGAGTGCACAAAGTAGTGATCGCAAGAGATTGGAGGTGGCAATGAGTCGGTTTTACAGAAATGGACACCAACTCATTACTAACTGACAGACTGAGTTTGTCTGGCCTCTAACCATTGACCAAGCTGGTAGGAGTAGCTTCCAAGCAGGCTGGGGGCACCACCCAGTACAGCTCAATGGGTCGAAGAGGTGCGCAAACCGTTGCACCACGTAGCGACGGAACCGCAAAATTCCCACACTGCCTACGCTAGTACTAGGTTCTTGTATCCCGGTTGAAGACACAATTCGCATCCATTTTGAACAGCAGCTTGATTAATAAAAAAGAGTAAGAGAGAAAAAGCAGTATAATGCGAACAGGCAACCAAACTTACTCTGGGATCGTTGAATTTACGTCGCTTCTCATCGGATGCACTCACTGAAATGTTGCCACCGGAGGCGAATGAGCCTGGAAACAATAAGGGACTAAGTTGATAGGTACCTGGATGCAATGATCCTAGTGCTCCATGAGCAGGAATTAAAGCACCTGAAGTAGTGTGCTGGCGATTCCCAGTCCCGCCACCACCACCGCTCCCAGTGGAGGCACTTCGCCCGGGTTGCTGCGTAGTGCTCGAACCCATATTGAGTCCAACGCTATCACCGGGTTCACCGGAGTTAGGCAATAACGGAAAAGAGCCGGGAAAACCTGAAAAATCGCCCATATTGGCTCCCAAGATGCCAGAGAGAGGATTAGGAGGATGAATCAGTGAAGATCCGACAGCAGAACGTCCAGAATGGAGGAGTGAATTTGCATTGGCAGCTACAGCCGTCCTCTGAAAGCAGGTAGGCACAAGTAAGGTGAGACAAATTGCGCGCTTCCACGTAAACGAACGATTATGAAGAGACAAGGATTGAAAGTGGCTAGGGTAACGCAATAAGGCCTAATCGCTGAGCAGTTATGTGGAATAAGCTACCAGGCTCTGAGGATGTGCGATTTCCCGAACAAAACTAAAGTGAGGATTGACGGTGAATAAAATAAAGGACATCGATGTGGATGTAACCACATTATATGAGGAAAAGTCCTATGCCATCTATTGAATAACAAAATTCACTGAATCGAATTCATTTCACCTCTACCACATCTGCTTTCTTTCTTCCTTGGCCTAATGAAGCACAATGAATTTTTGACAACACGCATGCACTGAACCATACGAAAACATGGTAGTCCTTATATTGTTGCACAATTGTCATTCTTGTACTCATAGATTCATCGTGTGTCTATGAGAACAATCCGCACAAGACTACGCTGAACAGTTGAGTCTAACCCTTGACCTTGCCTGTAACCACTACTCCATCTTTCACCCTTATTTCATTTGGTTTCATGATGTACCATGGGTCAGATGTGACAGAGACGCAATGAAGTCGCAGAGCCACAGTTTTACCTTTAACTAACGTTTTATTTATCATTGATATCTGATTCCATCCAGTATTCACTCCTTCATGCCTCTAAGCATATTTTAGAGCTCTCACGTAGACAGGGAAGTTGAAGAAAAAGGCGAGTTGATGTTTTTCCCATTTTCATGTTTTATCCTATTATGCATGTAAAGTAATAATAATAAATAATGTGTCAGCTGGACGACTTAACGGCGCTTCGCTGCCGCGCAGCCACCACCAGTCGCGCGCGGGCTGAGTATACCGCGAAGACGCCTACCCTTACGCAGATTCGAACCGGTGACCACCTTATAGTTGCAAATCAGGCGCGAAGACCAGTCGGCCACCGGCCGACATCTATATTCATTTGCAAGAATAGCACATTGTTGCTGAAAACGAAAAATCAGAGGCAAATAAATCCCTGTCTTAATTGCTACCCCTTGAATAGTTTACACTTCCCACACGTGGAAAAACTGGACCTTTCCCCCATGTAAATGACCCAGTTAGTGTGCCCGGTCTTAGTTGCGCAATAATGCGTATTTCTTTCTCTCCCTATCAACACTCTCACCTGTACTAACTGGAGCGTGCCATACAATCCTCAGTGATTAAAGAAACAATCAAAAAGCGAATAAAATTGCTGTTACCGATGAGGAAGAGGGCAGGTTTCGAACAGCATGGACTGAAGACCAGGTCGAATGCCGAATGAAGACTTATGGAGCCTGAATACGTAGATTATTGACTGTAGCGGATTGCGATTTCACTCTGTATTGTATGTCTGCGTACACGAGGAGGTACAGTGTGTAGATCATGATCTGTACCCTTCAAGGGTGGTCGCTCGTTAAATAGAGCAAATTAGTATGTGTACTCGAAGACATGGTTTGAGCCAAAAGGCCAGTGATAGCGCACACAAGCGTCGCGTGAGGTTTATTGCATTGAATAGGCTACCTGCCTAAAGATTACGGGACTTCGAAGGGGAAATCCATCACCTAGTTTTTGACCACGGCTATGAAGACGTGGTCCGATGGGTTTTGCATGATGACTGATGGATGTACATCACCAATCAACCACCATCTTGTTCTTCTTCAACAACATGGCGAACGCGAAACACAGCTGAATTTGAGCGCTCTGCCTCGCCATGCGAGCGTTATCAATTTAATGGATGAGAAGGGATAAAGAAAAGTGGGCACTAGTAGCGTTCCACGGGTTCCAGGGCACACCACGGGACCGTTCAGCCGGTTCCACGCTTAAGTTGAAACAGATTTCAACTGCTCCTATTTGACTAACTACTTTGGGTTGCAGAAAACGAAATCTCCATGCTTCATTGAAAATCAGTTGGCTGCACTGGAAGTGGAGATGCAACGCAAGCGCTTGTAGATGCAGTATTCTTACATACATGGTGGCGCATGAGATGTCATACCATTTGTTTTGTTCATTACACATATAATATTATAGATGTAATATTGAAAACTCGTGTTCGTATGCTTTGGTTTACAGAAAATCCGGTAGATGTCACGAGAAGTATATATGAAATATTTTCTTGGCGCCAAGCACAATTTTCAAGATAGCGCATAGGAGCAGGATTGAGTGTTGAACAAAAGATGAAAGTTGTAACGTTTGTTATAGAAACAAGGAGTTTTGTAGCGACACAAAGACGTTTTTGTGTACACTTTCGTACAAAATGGGCTCCATGTCAACAGACTATTCAGACAATGTATCGCCAGTTTGAAACAACTGGTTCTGTGGTGAAGAAACAACGGCGCAGACCAAGTGGCCGCACCCCTGAAAACATGGAAGCAGTTCGCGTTGCTTTGACAAGAAATTCTAGCAAGGACGGCTGCTGAGTTAGGAATATCTCATCAGTCCATACAAAGGATACTGAATTCTGATCTTTAAATGTCTCTTTACAAGATAACATTTGTCCATAAAGTAACAGCAGAGGACAAGCAACAAAGACATTAGTTCGCTTCATGGTTAGTACAAGAGGATCACGTTTTGTAAAACACGTGGTTTACTGACGATTCGTATTTTCATTTACATGGTGCACTGAATGAGCAAAATGTTCGTTTCTGGGCAAGTGAACATCCTTATAGTCTGCTAGAAAGGGGAACTTATGGAGAAAAGGTAAGTGTATGGGCGGCAATTTCACTCCACGGAATCATCGGACTTCTTTTCTTTGATGAGACGGTAAACGAAGATCGATATAAGAATATGTTGGAAGAGAATTATTCCAGAACTCTTGGCAACAGGCCTCCCACTACAAACCCCATGTCTTAGCAATGAAGCTTGCAAGCGCAGCTCAACTCAGGGCTCTTATCATGCAGTTGTGCCGACTAATTTGGGAAGGTTATGACAAATGTAAAGGTTCACTTGCAAGAGGTTGTGAAACAAAATGGTGAACACATCGAACATATACAATATTAAACTAAGGTTGCATGCTCATACAACTAATTCTGCACGCATTTTGTAACATTTTGATGATAAAAACATATGTAATGAACAAAACAAATGGTATAACATTTCGTGTGCCACCGTGTATGTTCAACGCGCATTAATGGATCTAATAGGGAAGGCCACACCTCATCCAATGAATTCGAGGCACTACTGATGTATGTGCAAGGCTGGCTATTTGAACAACCTCCCCGTCGTGCCAGCTGGGTGGTTCGGGTTTACCCCGTTCCATCAAATAGTTCGGCGGCAGTGTTCCGTGACGTGGTGGGTTTTCGCTAGGTAAGCGTTGTCTCTATAAAAAGCCACAAATGTCCGTTTAGCAACACTGTGACGTGGCGGTTGACTCGCCACTAAATCAAGTCACTGCCCCTTGCTTCATAATGGCGAAGCATTGTATACTAGCAATTTAATGCTTATTTGTACAATCATTGCAAATCCAAGGGGGTCAAACATCCTTTTAGCACTGGCGACACGTTCAGACACAAGCAAAAGCAGCAAAACCTTTACACAGCCAAGCAACACAGCTATCCACGCCTACACGCATACATAAATCCATTCATGTATCAACATTTATGACACTCCTATTATTGATCACCTGTTGCACTCCTACCATGATCATGCTTGTGCATGCGTGCCTCGCTTAGCCGAGAATAAAAGTTTATTTATTCATTTATTTATGCAAAAAATATTATTTGGTTCCGCAAAACCGGTAGTTTGAATTAAGATGCACAATCTCAAGTTAGATGGCACGTTACTCCAAAATGGCGATAGATAAACAGAGGGCAACATCATGAGCCGATAAGTTGCGTCATGCCTACGTGATGAATGCTTTTGCTGCGCATCGATGATTTCGGTCGCTGTGTAGCAGAAATGAATAAGCAAATAGCTGAGCAGTGCCACTGTTGGGTGCTGCGAAGGGCCTGGAAAATAAAAACAAGGCAACCCAGAGGAACTATAAGCATATTTGCGGAACTTAACAACATCGCAGAGCGGCCTCCGCGGTATCGCAACTGGAGAACCATAAAGTGAAACAGCCAATATGTGCTCGGAAATCAAGTTACTAGGTTCACTTCAAACTAGCACAGAAGGAAACAAAACATTACCAACGCGCATGAACCAGAGCATACAACGTGATTGTCCTCCGACATCGCCCACGGGCTAGTCGCGTAAACCTCTGGCGTCGAGACAATGGTTCCGGTTCCCGTCAGGGCTGAGGGATGTAGTCCACTGACGAGTTCCGTTAGGAGGAAACAGTTGACTGGCACTTTCCCAGATCTGTGAAAGGCTGACTGGCTGGAATCTCACTGGGGCGAAACATTCTTAGGTCAACACGAAAACCCTTATTCACTAGAAACCAGAAGTCATTTATGATTGACTCATCATCAAGTACGCCAACGACATTACCCTAATCTGCGACAACTGACGAACGTGCCAAGCAGCACTGGACAAATTAGTACTGATTGCCAATCGTTTTGGACCTTTCTTTCTCCAAGATTGACAGGGGTTACTTCCTGCGCTGGCCCTTAGTGGTGATCAGCTAGAAATTCAGATACACTGATAGCTATACCAGCGCCTGCGAAATGGAAGATGAGCTCACCAACCTCACAGCAAAAGCATGAGGAAATTTTGCCCAACGCCACCTGTAATGCCGACGCGAGTCACTTTCCCCCTGAAGCGCAGTGCGCAATATAGCCGTGCGCTCAATCCTCCTGGGCGGTTATGAAACCTGGCAGACAGGCAGTTGCGTAAGACCAAAGGTGTTTTCGCGGTATGACTCGCATGGAGTGGGAACACCGCATGAGCGATGAGGGTGTTCGGCGTCGTGCATTTGGTGACGATGAGCGAGTAAACTGCTCAGCACCACACAGATCCGATGGCTGGTCTGGTGTTCTGCACATTAAGCTTACTACCCGAGGTAGAAATAACATGTCGAATAAATTCGACCTCCGTTACA